TGGTCTTGTTCTCTTGCACGATCTCTGAGCGTGTCCAGTTCTCTTTGCAGGTCAGTAACCTGTTGATCCCTCTCGGTCACTTCTCCTTCCAGATCAGTAACTTCCTGGTCTTTAGCCGTCAGCCGTTCTTGCAAATCAGTAACTCGTTCGTCGCTCGCTGTCAGTTGTTCTTGCAGATTAGTAACTTGTTGGTTTCTCGTTGTCACTTGCCTTTCCAGATCAGTAATTTGTTGGTCTCTCGCTCTCACCTCTTCTTCCAGATAACTGACTTGTTGGTCTCTTGCTGTCAGTTGCCCTTGAAGATTAGTAACTTGTTCTTCTTTGGCTATCAATTCCTCTTCCAGATCTGTACCTTGTTGGTCTCTTGATGTCAGTCGTCCTTCCAGGTCAGTAGCTTGTTCGTCTCTTGTTCTCCCTTGTCCTTGTAGATCAATAACTTGTCGATATCTCGCTGGCAGTTGTCTTTGCAAGTCAGTTACTTGTTGGCATCTCGTAGTCAGTTGCCCATGTAGATCAGTAACGTCCTGGTATCTCGCAGTCAGTTGCCCGTGCAAATCAGTTACTTGTTGGTATCCCGCAGTCACCTCTTCTTGCAGGTAAGTTACCAGTTGGTCTCTCGCAGCTACTTGCCCTTGAAGATCAGTAACTTGTTGGTATCTCTCTGTTCTCTGTCTTTGAAGGTTGAAAACCTGTCGGTCTTTCGCAGCCAGTTGTCGTTCCAGATCACTGACTAGTTGGTCCCTCGCAATCACCTGTCTTTGCAGATCAGTAACATGTTCGTCGGTCCCTACCAGTTGTCCCTGCAGATCAGAAACCTGTTCGTTACTCAGTGATAGTTGTTCTTGCAGATCAACAACTTGTTGGTCTTTCGCCCTCACTTCACCTTCAAGATATGTGACTTGAAGGTTGCTCGCTGTCAGTTCCCTTTGCAGACCATTAACTTGTTCGTTGCTCGCTACTAATCGTTCTTGCAGATCGATAACCAGTTCGTTGCTCACAGTCAGATGTTCGCCCAGATCAGCAACTTGTTGGTCTCTTGCTGTCACTCGCCTTGGCAGATCAGCAACATGTTCGTTCCTTTCTCTCAGTAGGCCTTGCAAATAGGTACCTCGTTGGCCACGCGCTGTCACTTCTCCTTCAAGATAAGTGGCTTGCGTTTCTCTAGCTGTCATTTGCCTTGGTAATTCGGTAACTTGATCGTTGCTCGCTGAGCCTGTCATCTGTCCTTGCAGATCAGAAACTTGCTGATCGCTTGCTACAGCTTGTCTTTGCAGACCAGTATCTTGCTCGTTGCTCGCTGTTAGTTGTCCTTGCAGATCAGTAACTTGCTGCTCTTTCCCTGTCAGTTGTCGTTGTAGATGAGTAACTTCTTCGTTGCTCGCTGCCAGTTGTCTTTGCAGATCAGAAACTTCTTCGTTGCTCGTTGCCAGTTGCCCTTGTAGATCAGAAACCTGATCGTTGCTCGTTGCCAGTTGTGCTTGCAGATCAGTAACTTGTTCATTGCTCGCTACCAGTTGTGGTTGGAGACTAGTAACTTGTTCATTGCTCGTTGCCAGTTGTCCTTGCAGGTCGGTAACTTGTTGGTCTCTCGCTCTCACTTCTTCTTGCAAATCAGTAATTCGTCGTTCTTTCTCTGTCACTTGTCTTTGCCTATCAGAAAGCTGCTCGTTGCTCGCTGCCAGTTGTCCTTGGAGCTCAGCTATCTGTTGGTCTCTTGCTGTCAGTTTCCCTGGCAATTCAGTGGCTTCCTGGTTCTTTGCTGTCACATGGCTTTGCAAATCAGTGACTTGTTGGTGTCTCACTGTCAGATGTCTGTGCAGAATAGTAACTTGTTGGTCCTTCGTTGTCAGTTGTCTCTGCAACTCAGCCAATTGCTTCTGCTTCTCTACCAGTTGTTCCTGCGTTGTGCTTAACTGTTTTTGCAGGATAATAACTCGTTCTTGTTCCCTTCGTAATTGTTCCTCTATGTTTGCCATATCCGCGACCTTTTCTCGTAATTGTCCTTCCAAATCAGTCGATTGCATCTGCTTTGCTTCCAGTTGGTGCTTTATTGTGCTTAACTGCCTTTGCAAGTTAAAAACTCGATGTCTTTCCTCACTTACTTGCTCCTTTAAGATGGTTCTAGCTCTGATTTTTTCACGTAATTGTTCTTTCAAATCGGTCAGTTGATTTTTTCTGTCTGCCTCTCGTAGCAATGCCACACTTAACTGCTCCTCCACTTGTGTCGTATTTGTGCTGTTTTCTTCTAATTGATCCTGCAAGTTACTCAATTGCCTTTGCAGATCAGTTACTTCCTGCTCTCTCGCTGGCAGTTGTCTTTGCAGATCAATCAATTGTGTTTGACTCCTTACCAGTTGTTGCTTTGTCGTGCTTAACTGTCTTTCTAAGTTTATAACTCGTCCTCGTTCCTCTCTTAACTCCTTCTTTGATGTTGCTTTGTCCGCACTACTTCGTTGTAATTGTCTTTGCAAGTCAAACACTTCCGTTTGGTATTCTACCATTTGTTGCTTCGCTGTGATCAACTGTTTTCGCAGGCTGCTAACTCGATACTTCAGCGTTGTGTTATCTGTTTCACTGTCTCCTAGTAATTGCTTTAGCAAGTTAGTCAATAGCTGTCCCATCTCTGCCACCTATTATGTAAAATGCTGAGTCGTATTTTTATTTTTCTTCACCAGCTTCTTTCATCTGTGTCCTGCCACTTGTTCCTAGCAATTAATTATAAAGCTATTTCTTTGTACACTCCTGTAAATGTTCCCTCTAGGAATTCTTCACTTTCTCTTATCTGTCCGATTCGATACTACCAGAGTTTGGTGTAGAACATCATCAGTTCTTTTCAGTTCTTCTTCTTTCGTTTTCAATTGTCCACACGAGGAAGCTTCGTCTTTAGTGTTTTATGTTTTTAACTTTTAAACCTTGTGAAAGAAAATAAGTGTTACTGAAGCGTGTAAGCATAAGCCGACATACACGCAGGCGGGGTGAGATGCCGTTAATTAGCGCCTGTTTGTTACCTTATTGCGTCTGCGTACTGTAACTGTACTGTAACTGCCGCTTATATATAAGCTCGAGCTCATACAACCTTATAAGGGGTTTTGGAAGGGCTTATAAACAGAGGGGCTTATATCCGGGGGGAAGTCTTATGAGCGGAATAAAAAAACCCGTTTCGAAATGAACACAGCAGTGTCGATCAAAATTCGTTTTTCATAAAATGGTTTTCAATTGAGCTTTAAAACATCATAATAAATCGAATTTATCATTTATTTTTAACTAGAGGGGGCATATATCGGGGGGAGGGGGGGCGCTTTTAATCGGAAGGAATATTTTGCTTACAGGTTAATGAGCGGAGGAGCTGGCTTATAAGCGGCAATGACGGTTTCGGCTGCTTATGTTCAAGTGAAACAAGTGACACGACTTCGGTCAGGAACTGAAAATAGATTTCCGTCATAAATACCATAAACTGGGAAGTTAAGCGCACTACTTCAGTAACGTTTGCGCTCCCAGGAAGGGGAGGGGGGCGGCTCTTCATGTGAGCCCGGTCAACCGGCATGGCTCAGTTTCCGAGATCCCGCCTCTCCACTCTTTCTTTCGTAAAAATTTCGTTGTGTTCATATAAGAAGCCGGGCTGGCCCGGTTATTGAGATCTCAGTTTTTGAGATCTCGGTAACCGTGATGAAAATTTTCCCATATGAACATCCAGCCCGGGTGACCGGAACGAAACTTTTATGACTAAATAGCTTCGCTTTCGCAACATAGCTGCCAAAATGGCATAATTTTTGTCTTGCATGTATCTTCTCTTCAGAAGTATGGGATTTACCTTCATTAGTAAAGTTACAAGAGTCAACAAAGCAACGACAGACCAGACGCGAACGAGACAAGTATATGTTCCACAATTTTGGTTTTGTTTCTTGAATTTCATCCCGGTCGACCGGGCTGAAATTTCCCATATGAACAGACAACAAAATTCGTCCCGGTAACCGAGCCAGCCCGGTTACCGGGTTCATATGAAGAGGCCCCCACTCTTGTCTGTGAAATGTTTTATTCATTCGTGCGTGATTTTTTTTTCCCTGAGCGTTAAGGCGACACTTTGCTACTCTACAAGTGAATATATGAAAGAGAAAGATATCAAGACACGATTGATCATCGCAGTTATACACACAACTCTGAGCAGTTGTCAAATCTCAGGCTTAAATTTCACAACTGCATGTCTTGATACGCAGCTTCTCACTTTACGAGCTCCGCCTGAGAAGAGTTTAGGACGAAAGAAAACGACTGAGGTTCCTTTACTGTCACCCAACACCACTCAAACGGAGTCGAGATGATCTGGATACTCCGCCCTAGTTCAGTTCGGGCATTCTCTCTCTCTTTTACAGAGCGCTATGCTTTTAGAAGAGACGTGGCATCTGCTCTCTTCCGAAAGCGTAGCGTTGCGTGACGACTGGATTACGTTGTAAGTTCGTTTGTGAGTAAACCCTTGCCTCATTTTACCTACTCACCAATACACAAGGAATATGATTTCCACAAGGGTGATAATTTTCAACTTTCCTTAGGTTTGCATGGAATACTTTGGAAGAAAATTCTGTCTCTCTCGCATTACTTCCGTCGGCCGCCGGGCCATCGGATTTCGGCGCCTTGTTTGCATTGTTATGAATCACCTCGAATCTAACGGGTGGGTAAGTTTGAAGTTTAATCAGCGATTGTCAGTAAAGCCGGAAGTTTAAAAGTTAAATAACGATATCTCACAAAAAGCGTGGCGGTGTAGAAGAACATATAAGCGCCATAATTATTACTGGATAACGTCTGTACACAGACTTCTGCGAAAATCAGGATTTTCCGAGAAAATCGATCAGATGGAGCTAATTAAAATGCACAGTGATCTATTTCATTTCTTTATATGAAAGTGCCCATTAGTTTTCATTTGTATATTGCGAGATCGATCATTTCAGGCTGGAACCATAAATGTCAGATACCCGCAAAATGAAACTTGAAATTTGAGAACTCAGCGTCTTTCCTAAGTGCGGCGCACAAAAGCAAATAGTAGGTAGTCACGGGTTTTCTACTTGCTCTCAAATTAAAGCTTCAGTACTTTCTACCATAGCTGGTAGTTTCTACTAAGCGCTAAGTTCTAGTTTGTCATCAAGTTGTCATGCCGTTTTGATTTATCAGTTTCTGCTTCAAGTTGCATATTGTTATTATTTGTAACTGCTCCTCGAAGATTCGAATTTCATTTTCATCGTGTCAACTTCATGCTACTCACCTGTCTTTATCGTTGGCAATGTCCTCATTTAACGCGATCAAGGTTTCTTCAAATGACTGATATCAAATCACGTTTCTACTTCTCCGTCCGAAATTTGCGTTT